ATGGTCGGGAGGAATAGGCTGATTCCGTAGAGCGGGCATACAATCTAGTACCCAATGTCAGCATCCATACATCGGTGATAGTGGTCAAAAAAAGCCTTACACCCCAGTACACAAAGATGTTGATCCAAATCTGCCAATCGGTAAACGCGTCCACGACGTATTTCCACTTAAACTCCTCCGCTTCGGCAACTTGCACGCGGTTTTCTTGCTTGCCCTGCACCTGGCCCTGGTATTTCAGTCGGAAGACAATAAACGCTCGCTCCTCCTCAGTCAAGAACTTGGCCGTCTCAGGGAAGTCGTGGAGTGCAAAGAACGCCATGACGGCAACGAGGACGGTCACGATACCCTCAAGGATGAAGATCCAGCGCCATCCCTCCAGCCCACCGATGCCGTCCATCTTGGAAATCGCGAACGCGAGGAGACCGCTAAAGGCACCAGCGATGGAAGCCGCCGAGAAGAACATGGCTTGGCGAAGCTGGATTTCGTGGCGGCAGTACCACATCGTCAAGTAGTACTAATCATCTATCAGCTAACACTGTCACTCGCGCGCCGACCGAAATGATAATTGATAGTAACATGTAGCATAGAGAATACTTACTGCGACACCGGGAAACAGTCCGGCCTCCGTCACTCCGAGAAAGATGCGAGCTATCAATAGGCCGTGGTAGTTCTTCACGATGCCCATCAAGGTCATGACGAGGCCCCACGCGACCATGATGGTCGGCAGCCACACGCTCGGGCGGAGCTTCTTCAGCAACAGGTTGCTCGGGACCTCGAACGCGGCGTAGGTGAAGAAGAAGACGGTGAGGCACCAGTTGTATTGATCGGCCGTCATTCCCAAATCTTCTTGGAGTCCTTCGATCTTGGCGTTTCCGATGTTTCCACCTGGCCGGGCTGTCAGTCATAAGTCTCAAAAGGAAAGGAATGATGGAAACTTGCGATCCAGGAATGAGAGTAGGTAGAGTAAAGCCAGCATCGGGATGAGTCGAATGTCCATCTGGAAGTTCAACAGTCAGTCTCCATGCATTGACGATGGTAATGGGCATGAAACCCTCACCTTTCGCAGGATCTTCTTTTCATCCAGATGCGCAAAGGAAGCTAGCGTTGTGCCTTGCGCCGTAGCTATTGCATCGATCCGCTCAATCTCCCCCTTCTTCGTGACAGGCTCATGCTCTCCATTTTCGAGCTCTGAGATTTCAAGTTTCTCGTGGCGCGAAGCGTACGAGGAGTCCATCGTGGCAATGCTGGATCGCCTTCTGTGTTGGCCTTGAGCTAGGTGTCGGAGGGTGCCAACATTCACTAGAGCTTCAGGCTCCGCAAGTCGATGAAGGTTGAAAGTTGGTCGAGTGCAATCACGATCACAATCACATGGAACGAGTGCGATCAACCTCCATTTTCGCGCCCTATGACCTGAATATAAACCTTCGGGTATCTCTCCGTGGTTCGGACGCAGCCCACACAACCCAAACAGGTTGCCAAAGGTTCCCGTCGTCAGCGGCTGGGGTACGTGTGAGTGTAAGCCCCATCGGCGAAGAAGCTCGGCAGATTGAAACATCCAATGGAGAGGAGGGGGTGCGGCTACTCTCCGTTCCGGAAAACGTCCGCGAGGTCAAATATCCATGCCCGAGGGCGGGAGTCTACCTACCCCGCGTTGCTTATTTCGACTAAGGTGAGCGGAACGTTGGCCGCACTGACAACGGACCCACGTGGTGATGTGAGGGAAGTTCTGGGATTGGGTAGCATTTGCCTTGATTGCAGTAGATCAATGTGTTGAGGGATCGGCGGAGCGGAGAAAAGACGGATTGTTTGCTTGGTTCGTCTTGGTTTGTCTTGGTTGGGATCGTGATGTCACTTGGAGAATGCGGGGGAGGAGGACGATGCTCGGCCCGCGGCCTGAAGCTCTCCTCACTTAGCTGCGTGCGGCGACGGCACTGCATTCCGTCGACTTGCATTGGGGTAGCTCAACGGGCTCAAGATCTGGGCTCCGAGAGAGGATGGGAGAAGAGCTGGTGAGACTAAGGTAGGTAGGTCGAAGTCGGGCTATCAAGCTAGCGAGTTGCAACTAGTAGCCGAGGTGAACAAATTCTCAACTTGATGTACAGAGTTCAGAAGTCTAAAGGAGTATAATCAAAGCGCCAATAATACCTATCCCATGCCTTGCGCCAGCATAATCTCACAATCAGATTGGGAACAAAGCAATCCCAAAGTCTTTAAACGCCTGTATCCAATCAAACGTATCAACGCCCGCTTGCTCTAGTTCATCCCGTCTTTCCCATAAACGCTGAACCACCTTCCACTGCGTCCGGCTGTTGGCGACACGGTAGCACTTGATCCTCTCCCACCAGTGCTCCCACGGTCCGCGATCGCTGGCGTCGCACGAAGCTACAAAGGCAGGCCACGTTATGGGCGCCATGAAGTTGGTCTTTGTGGACTTCGACCGCGTTTTGATGTCCTCGACAGCGTGCATGTGTTCGGCGATTTCGGCGAGGAGCTGCTGGTGGTTTTCGCTGTGACATTTTTGGATGCGTCGGTGGTAGTAAATGACTGCAGCCAAATGCCACGCATTCGCGTGGTGTTGAAAGATTTCCAGGGTTTCGGCATCCTGGTTCATCGCTTGGCGGACGTCTTCGAGGCCTAGAGACCAGTTGCAGAGTCGGTCGCCAAGGCTTTCGCAGGCCTCGAGCAGTCCCTCTGGGATGGGCTCTTCGGTGTCTTCATACCAGAGGAGATACTCCGCCAGTCGGCAGGTCTCCTCGATATCCACAGCGATGGCGGGTGTGATCCCGTACATATACCCGAAGCAGCTGTCGGGCTCTGCCTGCGAGGCGATTGGTTCGTCTATATCCTCTGCACCCTCTGATGGCCAAGGCCCTGGCGTGAAGGAGAATGAGACTGTGCGAGTGAGGAGGTAGAGAAAGTCGCTAATTTCATTCAGTTGCCGCGTGGCTCTGCTGATGACTTTCCATCGCCTTCGCGTTTTCCGCAGCTGTTTTGTGCCTTGAAGGTGGACCACAAAGTCGGCATCACTGCCTGTCGTGAACTGTGTGATAAAGCTCAGCATACTTCACACATCACATTTGGGGAATGGGATAAGGAACTCACGTTGCTAATGGTCACCATTGATAACATGGCCACCATGAGAAGCTTGTATTCCGATGTTGCCATGGCGGGGTTGATGGCGGACTGTAAGCAATGCAGCGCTACTTGGCGATGCTGCGACCCGAGGGCAAGGTATTTCGCCTGCTCGGGGCCACAATTGCCGAGATGGAAAGCAGATGATGCTATAAGGGAGTGAAAAATGACTGAAGAAACGGTAGGTGTGGCCATTTTTGCTTTCGGCAGCCATTCCGATATTGCCTGGAGAGCTGCCGGGACGTAGAGCTTTCGATAAGGATTCTGGGGATGTGGAATGGGCTGGAGTAGGCTCGCGATGTTCTCCACGTAGTGATGCATAAGTCTATCGATGACTGCGTCGCCTGATATGCTGGTAGATATTCGTCTCGGTAGTCTCATGGATGAAATGTTATTTTGCGGCTGCATCGGCAACAACTCGACTGAGTCTTCTAATAGGTCTGCAATGTCGCCCAGCGAAGAGTTGAACTCTTCCTGGAGCTGGAATTCTGGTGTGGCATGGTCATCCTCCGAGGTTCTGATGAGCTCCACATCGAGCCCAATCTGATTTGGAGATCCGTCCTCTCGTGCTGTCGAGAATGAAGGACTTGAGCTTGCGCAGTCAGTGTAGATAGGTGAGGTCGTTGCGTCCTTCTGGGACCGTGTTGATTCTGAGCTGTGATGAGCATTGGTGACCAATGAGCAGTCCGAGGCTGCAATATCGGGACTTCCTAAGTCGTGACTCTGGCCAGATTCGTGACTACCGTCATGGGCTTGAAAAAGAGAGAAAGGACCTTCTTGTATGATGCCCTTTGAGTTTGGTGCTTCTTCAAGGGATGCCAAGAAGGAGTCAATGTCTCTCATCTGATATTCTGGCCCTGTATCACGGCCTGTAAAGGGCCCCAAATGTGCATCAGCCACTAATACCAGGACATGGGGGCAGAAAGGGTAAGTAATGGGATGAGAATCCTACCAATCCGTATTCTCCCTCTGCCATTACTGCTACTGCCAGGCTTCTCCTGCTCAAGAAATGGGTTCGAAACGTTGATCCACTGAAGCTTAATGCCGTAGCCTTCGCAAGGGATCTTCATCTTCTCGCAGTTCCCACAACCAGAAGACCTCTCATCACACTTCACCTTGCGCCTCTTGCAGGTCCAGCACCTGTTGTCGCCCAATGAATCGCGCACAAGTCAGTCCACACCCCTGTCAAAGTGGTCCGAGACATTCTCCAAAACGTACCCGGTAAAGGTCATCGACCGCTGTCCCGATTTAGGCGGCGGCATCGTGGGGTCATGCTCGGGAGCGGATCGCCGGTGGCTGGCTCGGACGGGCTCCTCATCAAGGCGCCTGCGGTGGAAATTCCGGGGTAATGCCCACCCGTGAATGCAAGGTCAGCACTCGGAGACTTTGATTGAATGTGAGGAGAAGTTGGGCATGGCGCAGATGGCATACCGGGAATTTGCGGCAAGACACCACACCTTTCTCGGACCGTGTCGAGATAAGCAGGGCCTCTTGATGGATACGGTGTTATCACGGAAAGCTTACCCCGCTAAGCACTGTTTAGGTACGTGTTCAAGGTGAAGGTTTGCGCGAATTTGTGTTCCGAACACAGTGCGGTCCTTAAACCTTGTTGCAAGCTAGGTGACTAATGATCGCGATCACCTCATCCGGATTAGACTACGACGAGGCAAGGTGTCGCCTGATTCCGAGAAGATAATAAATACCGCGCAAAGGAGCGCCGTGAAGATTAAAGAATCTATGATAAGAAATCTTATTCTTATGACATATCATACACAATTTTCTCTTCCAATACCGGACTTCACAGATATTTTATTGCTGAAGAGCTTCACTCTCTAGTCCTTTAGAACTAAAATACGCGTAGCTATTGCCTACTCAGCCTCTGTTGGATACGACTCAGGAGTATCGTTAACTTGAACACCCCCTCTTTTAGCATACCGACTATCAGCAAACGGCAATGGCCATCCGCCCTCCTCTTCTGAGGTAGCAAGCCAAAGTCTCTGTAACCAGCGTTTCTTCGTGACATCGTTATCATCCTTGTACGCAGATCGCGCATGAAGGTTATGAGTGTTGGCGACAAATTGGATATCGCCCTGCTGCAGCGTCATTTCCAACGATAGTCGGCGGCACATCTCCTCCATCACCTGGATCGCCTCACGCTGGGCATCTGTGTACTGTGGAAGAAGCCCAGCATCCCAGAAGCGTTGTAGCGCTCCGACATAGTAAGAGTCCCACTTCATGCTGAGCTTCTCCTTGTAATAGTAATAGCCCGGAGTACGCATCCACCCCTTTTCTCCCTCGCTCGTCTCCCCCTTTCTATCATAGAACCAGTGTGGCAGGCATAATTGGCGTAGCACATCTGGTCTTTCTCGTCTGAGAGTGTTGTAGATGCTGTGGCTGGAGACCACCTGTGACTCTCCGCCTTCCATCGCTTGGTGAAGGCAAAGCAGACCCACGATGTCGCTTTCATCCGTGTGATACGTCTGAGCTTTCTGCGTACGGTAGATTCTGCCTTCCCCGTTGACTTCTTTGCCTTCAGCAAGGTCTTTGATGTGTCCGAGCATGTGTCCCTGACGATTTTGGCTCAATCGGCGGCCGATGTAGGAACCGATGCCTAGATAAGTCAACATACCCACTTCCTGGCACCCCCCTTGTTTCTGGCACCACAAAAACGATGGGATCACAACCCAACCTCCTCATTACTATTAACTATTGATCCTCAACCACACCCACTACAATACAGCTGCCAGCCTCACTAGGGCATTCAGAGTCGCTGGATTCAGCCGTGATAACCTCCTTTTCACCCGCTTCGATTTGAGCCCGATGGATATCCCTGATGTTCGCGAACTTCGTATTGGGATCG